CCAGCATAACACTGTATGACAACGCTTCAGATGACTGTTCTAGAGCCTACAGCTAATCAATCTGACAGATTATGAAGTGCATTACAGCTCTAAATATAAATATAAACGATAATTTATCTTAAATAAAACAAATACATGTATAGAGATGGTATATAAGTATGTAACTTTACTCACATGGGAAACGGAGGCCACGTGAATGGTTTGTGAGCACAATTAAATTCACTCAGCATGCCATGCCATCTAATAATTGTAGGAAACAAGTCCAAAAGGCAGTCGACTGTATAAAGCCATATAAAACAACACAGAAATACGATAAATATGCAGAGTTCAGTGGCTAATCTGCCGGATTCAGCTGAGGTGACATGAAGGCGACCAACGAGACCTAGCTGTCACTCAAGTGGCCACTCCCTTAATTATGCAAACTTAATATAACTTAATATAAAGGAAACAGATGAGTTATAAAAAAATTCACCCCCCTCACAGTTGTCATGAAGGGTTGTATTAACCAAAATCTTTTTTGTACCAGGCTGTAAACACCTTTTTTTCTGCTGTAAAGTTGGCCATTCTAACAGTGGGCTCAATTGAAATTTGCTCTGTTTTGGAGCCAGGAACATTCGGATGAATTGCAGTTTTAGTTACTTCCGTATTGGCTTCCTGAGAGAGAGCGGGAGGTTGCCGCTTGGTTCAAAGTCACTTAAATCCTCTTTCTTCCCTATTCTGATGCTCGGTTTAAACTGCAGCAGATCATTTTGACCATGTCTACATGCCTAAATGCATTAATTTGCTGCCATATGATTGGCTGATTAGAAATTTGTGTTAACGAGCAGTTGTTCCTAATGAAGTGGTCGGTGAGTGTATATGTGTGCAGTATGTGTGTGTGTGTGTGTGTGTGTAAAATTATTAGCCCTTCTGTGGTTTATTTTTTAAAATATTTCCCAGTTGATGTTTCACAGAGATTTCCATTTTTTCTCTTTAACACACACACACACAAACACAAACAAAGTTATTAGTTAAAAATAGTGTTGTGTTAATGTGTGTGAAGTGTGAAGTGCTTCAAGTGCATTAAGTACTTAAGTAACTGCAATTTGGTAACTCCTATTCATATTAGTGTTTTTATTAATTAATTATTAAAAAATGTTTATTTATCAATTATTTTGAAGCAGCTTTTAAATTAGAAATGCACATTCAATACAACCAAGTGCCCTTCTTTTTCCTATTAAATCCTATCCTATCCTATCCTATCCTTTGCAAAAGAAATAAAAGCTAATTAAATTCACAGTCAAATGTCTTTTATATATTCACACATGAATGCAAATCAACTGATCTGTAAAGCAGAATAAAACAGTTGTTCCTGACTTATTCATGAGAGTTTGTATAAAATGTTTCCCTGATCTTAAAATTGTTCCACAAATGCAGCAGTTTGCCGAGCAGGTTTCTCAGTGCAGCCTCAGCATTAAAATCACTGTTCGCTACTTTTGTCCTGGCTAGTTTCAAGAATGCAAACATACTCCTGAGGACAGAACTGTTGACTGCGCTCTTTTTTTTTTATCAACAAGAACTGTTAATGCTCGACACCGTTCTCATGCCGCAGTGTTTTTAAACAGCAGGTCCAAACACCTGAATCCTCGAGCGAGATTCTGTGCAATACATTGCAATGCAAATGCAGTAAAGTATGTTTCAGTGCAGAAAGGAGATTTATATTCTTAATTAGATGCCAGCAAAGAATGTTATTTACTTCCTGCATGTCAGTACAGAGAGTTCTCTGCGTAGATGGATGAAAATTTAAAGACCCTTGAAGTTACTTGGACAAAATCTGTTTAGCGCAGCGTGACTCATCAATATTTTTGCTCTAATTTCCCAGAAGAGAAAAAGATGTTTAAAATGCATATATGTGCTAAAATATGAATTTTGTTAATGTTCACTGTGAAGTGGAAGATATCCTAGCAAGATTAAATAAGCATATTTTAGAAGTTCCACATATATTCTGAAACACAGTATAAACAATATGAATGAAATATTTGAAAAACAAACAACACTGATCAAAATTAGAGAATACTTTCAGATCCTCCCAGTTGTTTGGTGTTAATCTGAAACCTGCTGGTAATTTCTGATGGGAAACATTATGTTCACATTCTAACTGGGCAAAGACTGAACCCAATGTGTTTGGAGAAGTCAGTAAAGCTGGAAGTGTAGTGTCATAGTTTGGGGTTTGTTTAAATGCAGCAGCTACAGTGCATCCGGAAAGTTTTCATAGCGCTTCACTTTTTCCACATTTTTTTCCACATGTTACAGGCTTATTCCAAAATGGATTAAATTAGTTTATTTCCTCAAAATTCTACACACAATACCCCATTATGACAATGTGAAAAATATTTTTTTGTTGTTGTTGTTGTTGCAAATTTATTAAAAACAAAACACCTGAAAAATTAAATGTACAGAAGTATTCACAGCCTTTGCTCAATACTTCGTTGATGCACCTTTAGCAGCAATTACAGCCTCAAGTCTTTTTGAATATGAAACCACAAGCTTGGCACACCTGTCTTCCGTCTGGCCACTCTACCATACATGCCTGATTAGTTGTCCTGATTAGCTGATGGTAGTCCTTCTGTAAGGGTGTCCTCTCTCCACAGAAGAACGCTGGAGCTCAGACAGAGTCACCATCAGGTTATTTATGACCTCCCTGACTAAGACCCTTCTCCCCCGATCACTCAGCTTAGATGGCCGGCCAGCAAGAGTTCTGGTGGTTCCAAACATCTTTTATCTATGGATGATGGAGGCCACTGTGCTCATTGGAACCTTCCCCAGCCTTGCTCCTCGAGACAATTCTGTCTTGGAGGTCTACAGACAATTCCTTTGTCTTCATGCTTGGTTTGTGCTTTGACATGCACTGTCAACCCTGGGACCTTATATAGACAGGTGTATGCCTTTTCAAATCATGTTCAGTCAACTGAATTTACCACAGGTGAACTCCAATTAAGCTGCTGAAACATCTCAAGTGTGGAAACAGTGGAAACAGAATGTACTTGAGCTCAATTTAGAGCTTCACGGCAAAGGCTGTGAATACTTCTGTTCATGTGATTTTTCAGCTTTTTTTATTTTTAATAAATTTGCAACAATTTCAAAAAAAAAAATTTTCACATTGTCATTATGGGGTATTGTGTGTAGAATTTTTCCATTTTGGAATAAGATTGTGACATAAAAAGTCTTAACATACAAAATATAAAAAAGTGCTTTGAATACTTCCCGGATTCACTGTATATGACGGAATAAATAAAAGCGTTAATCAGAAGCAACATTCAGTTCCTTCCCTGCCAGCTAGCTAGCAATTTTTATGCAGGACAATTAACCTCATGACACAGCCAAACAAGTAAAGCAGTTCCTTAAAGTTTTATTCTTTAGGTGATGAATTAATCTGTAGAAAGTTAAAGTTGAAAAACAAAAGTTAGTTTTGGTAATCTTCCTTTTGCTTCTTTGTTTGGAGTGATGGTCTTTCTCTGATGAAGTCAGTTTGACAGCTTCAGCCACAATATTCTTAACCACGCCCCTCTTACTGTTAATTTGCTATGAGGAAATGATGCACTAAAAGCCCCACCCCCTACTCAATGTTCCGTTTTAGTTGAAAGTACATGAACAGTAATACAGGGGTAAATAAATCTTTATTAACATTGGTAATAAAAGTCTCAACAACTTCCTGTTCATATGAATTTTCAAGCTATTAAGGCGATTGTGCTACCCACTGCACCACCATGCTGCCCCTGAAGTCATTCAAAGCAATTCAAATCTGTCATTTTTGCTTTAAATTATTTAAAACCTCATTTTTATTTTTGTGGGAATGACGATCATATTTTCTCATGTAGCATCCTAATAAAACAAATGTATAAAAAAGACAAAAAGTTACAGTAATGCCGTAATAAATGAATCTTTGCTAACATTGGTAATAAAAGTGTCAGCAACTTCCAGTTCACATGGGTTTTAAATATAAAATATTGACAATATGAAAGGACAGCCTAGAGTCCTGATTTACACTTGATTGAAAGTCCTTAATAGGATGTTAAGGTCATTTAAAGCTATTTAAATCTGTCATATCTGCTTTAAATTATTTAAAACCTCATCGTAATGAAACAAATGTATAAAAAAGACAAAGAATTTACAGTAATAAATTAATCTTTGTTAATATAAGTAATCAAAGTCTTAACAACTTCCAGTTCAAATGGCTTTTTAAAAATATTGACAAAACGAAAGGACAGCCTAGAGTCCTGAACTAAACCTAATTAAAAATCCATGGTGAGATGTCATTTAAAACTATTCAAATCTGTCATATCTGCTTTAAATTATTTAAAGCATCATTCTTGACACATAGGTGAAACCTACTGGTTTGAAGAATTTGAGAAAGTACAAGGATTTGAAATGGCAGTGAATTAGTATTTTGGTATTTTTGTCATGCTTAAAGGGTTAGTTCACCCAAAATTGAGAATTTGGTCATTATTTACTCCATTATTTACCCCATTATTGCTTCAAATCTTAAAGAGTTTATATTTTTTTTCTGTTCAGCATAAAAGAAGATATTTTGAAGAAAGCTGGAAACCTGTAACCATTGACTTCGATAGTATTTGTTTTTCCAACTATAGAAGTCAGTGGTTATTGGTTAATGGTTTCAAACATTTTTCAAAATATCTTCACCAGTGTTTAAAACAATAAAGACTCTCACAAAGGTTTGGAACCACTTGAGGGTAAGTAAATTTACATGTTCGGGTGAACTATGTTTAATTAGAGCCTTTAATATGTCGTGAAATGTTTCATTTTGTGACAAGATTTTTGGTAAATAAACTATTGCTATACTGAATGACTTGTTAGTTTGCATCTTTAGTCGTGGCTAACTGATTTTCATAGTCATTATTTCATTGTTTTGAGAAAATAAAATGTAACAGGCCACAATCTCGTACATGACAGGAAAAAAAATAGCCTGTATTAAACTTAGATTGTTTTTGAAATGTTTCCAGCCTTGGTGAGGAGTTTTATCGTGAGGCGATTGAGCACTGCCGAAGTTATAATGCTCGACTTTGTGCCGAACGCTCCATGCGCCTGCCCTTCCTCGACTCCCAGACAGGTGTAGCACAGAGTAACTGCTACATATGGATGGAGAAGACTCACCGTGGGCCAGGTGTGTGTCTGTGTGTATCCCACTACACAGGTGACTTTAACATAAGTTTTGAGTTTTGGGTGTTTATGTGGCCACTCTGCATCTGTTCGACCCAGGTGTGGCTCCAGGGCAGCTCTATACCTATCCTGCACGCTGCTGGAGGAAGAAGAGACGGTTGAACATCTTAGAGGATCCACGTCTTGGACCCATCGAGTTTAAAATCGGTAAAATTAAACTAAATGTTTAATGTTTTTGTGAGTATGACAATCGTATTTTCCCACATATCATCCTAATAAAAAAATGTATAAAAATGAAAACGGTTACAGAAATGCAGTAAGAAATGAATCTTTGTTAACAGTTAATGAAAATAAAGTCCTACATTGTCAGTTAGCTTACAGTGCATTAACTAATGTTAACTAGCCTAAAGGTATTTCAATAATTCATTATTCTGTGTTGAACGATAACGAAAGCCAACACACTAGGGTTGGGCATCTAAGCTATAATGCCGATCCGATACGCATCTCGATACAAAGAATACGATCCGATATATTAGCGATACATTTGTGACATTGCGATGCAACACGATACGATTTACACCCATATCACAATACAATGCGATAATTCAACACTAACTTATTAGATCAAGTTTATGAGATGATGTAAGAAAGGATGCTGTGCCATTGAATGAGTTTGATTATTTATTAACCAAGTAAAGCCAAGACTTTTTCTAAAAACTGGCTTTTCTCTCAGAGCCAGAGTGTCAGTTTACAGTAGAGGGCCATTTTAGAACCTATAGCACATATTATTTAAGTATTTTCAAGATAAACAGAATGTATAAGTGCAATATATATTATAAATGTATGTATTTGCACTCTTTCAACATAAAGGTTTAGCATTGCACAACAAGAATTGTGATTTAACTTTTCAACTATGAAAACAAGTTTTACAAAGCTATATTGTGCCACTGAATATTCAAAACTTAAGGTGGTGAACTAGCAGTGTTATGTTGCTTTGAAGCATCACTGTCACTGTAAACAACAGGCTAATAAAAATATAAATAAATACAAATTAACAGGAGGAGGTGTTTAAAACCTTCGTTCTCCGTGACACTAGGCTGAATATCTTTGCAGATGAACAATGCAATAGCATTCGTTATTGGCGTAAAGCGAGCAGAACTGTTGCGCATGGAGAAAACTTTAAATGCTTTTCTCACCACTTTTGGAGCTGGTAGCTACAGTTGAAGCAGTGCAGGAAGCCGGGGATGCAGGAACACTGAAAGATACTTCCACAACAACATCGAGGCGCCGCTTCAAGTGAGATATCAGATTAGTCGTACTGCCCGTGTATTTTACAGATGCGCGACACATTTTGCAAATTGCATCTGTCCTGTCAAGTCGTCCATCCTTTTTGCAGAATCCATAATGTTGCCATACTTTAGATTTAAAACTCAGTGGGGAATAAAATGTTTGTTTTGCTTCTCGCGCTTTCTGAGGGCGCACCACTAGCTTCATCCGCACACCTGATACACTGAGTTGTAGTGTAAGTGTACACATTCGCGAGCCCGTTGCTAATGCATACTTTACGTAGGTCGATTAAATTATGCGCCAAAAACAGGTTGACAACACTTGTTAATAAATAAAAAATACATTCTATATTAAAAATATAAGTTGTATCTTGGAAAAACCGATGCATCTCGATTTGCTTCCAAAATTTAATTCATCCTCTGCTGCTCTACCGATGCACTCGCATCGTGCACGCGCATGACCGCGTATCGATACATATCGGTTAATCTTCCCATCCCTACAACACACTGTTATACTACATAAACTTATTCTTTTTCCGTCTTTTTCTGAGACTAGTTTCTATATGCATCTCCTACTTTCCAAGCTACATTCAAACCATGTGACCTCATAACTTTGCTCCAGACTCATACAGACTTAAGTTTGGGCTCATTTAACCCAGACTAGTAATCTGCCAATCAATGATACATTTTAACTCAGTAGCCACACCCTAGCAACCACTTACAGTACCCTAGCAACTGTTCCATAGGCTTACATTGTAAAAAATTGCCATTGACTTTGAATTGAACATACTAACAACACACAAATTTATACTAGCAATATACTAATCCATGCTAGAACTATGCTAATTCAAATTAGAATCATGCTAATTTATGTTAGCAACTGCCTAGCAGCCACTCAGAACACCCTAGCAACTTCCTAGCAACATCTTAGCAACTGCCAAGCAACCACTCAGAACATCTTAGCAACCGCCTAGCAATTAATCAGAACACCCTAGCAATGACTTAGAAACTGCATAGCAATCACTCAGAGCACCTTAGCAACTACATATCAACACCTTAGCAACCACTTACAACACCCTAACAACCACCTAGCAACACCTTAGCAATGACCTGGAGCATCCTAGCAACCGCCTAGCAAAGCCTTTGCCACCACTCAGAACACCCTAGCAACTCCTTAGCAACTGCCTAGCAACCACTCAGGACACCCTAGCAACCACTCAGAAAATCCTAGCAACTGCCTAGCAACGCTTTGCAACCACATAGCAACACTTTAGCGACCATACAAAACACTAGCAACCGCCTAGCAACAAACATGCCAATCCATACTAGAAACATGCTAACATATATGTACTTATCTATCTATGCCAACTGTTTCTTAAAAACTACTTTAGGTTTTATAACTTTAAAACTACTTCAAACTGTCAGACTAGGCTTTCTCAAGCCACCATAAAGTTACGAGTGTCTGAACTTTACTCTTCTAGTTAATAAATGATGTATAATGCATTTTTCATCATTATTAGTTCAAGTTAGTAAATTCATTAAACAGCTTTAACTAATGGCGATGCAGTGGCACAGTAGGTAGTGCTGTCGCCTCACAGCAAGAAGGTTGCTGGTTTGAGCCCCGGCTGGGTCAGTTGACGTTTCTGTTCTCCCTGCGTTTGTGTGGGTTTCTTCCGGGTGCTCCGGGTTCCCCCACCCTCCAAAGACATGCGGTACAGGTGAATTGGGTAGGCTAAATTGTCCGTAGTGTATGAATGTGGATGAGTGTGCATGGATGTTTCCCAGAGATGGGTTGCAGCTGGAAGGGCATCCACTGCGTAAAACATGTGCTGGATAAGTTGGTGGTTCATTCTGCTGTGGAAACCATGGATTAATAAAGGGACTAAGCCGACAAGAAAATGAATGAATGAACTTCAACCAATGAAACCCTAATGAAAAGTGTGACCAAAACATTTCTTGAAAACAGTGGTAAGCAATGTATTTTCATGTTTGCTTCTGTACTTTATCAAAGTATTTCTATTTTGGGAAACTTTACCTTATTTTATTACATTTCATAATTATGTTGTGGTGTGAAAGTAAGCTAATAATGCTGAATATTAGGATTTATTTTCGTAAATGAAAATCATATTTAGGGTACTACTGTTTATAAGCTTATAAAATGCTTGAATGTAAAAATGTCTGTTTATTTACAATCGCAACACAATGCTAATATAACATTAGGTAATGCTGATGCATCTTCTTACTGTCATAGCACTAACTAGATACTAGAATGCTAATTGGTTTGTTTTTAAGAGCCCAGGCTAGTTGGAAATATGTACCTCAGCTTACATATTTGTGAAATATAAAATAAAGATCTCGGGTACATTTCAGTTGACAAATTTAGGGCACTGCTTAGATTTTTGTTAATCTTTTGAACAAATTACTTAGGGTATATTTTGTTGGTCATTTCAGATACACGTTCTTTTACATGTCCATGAGAAGTACAGGTCACCTAGTGCAGTGGTCCCCAACCACCGGGCCAATTGGTACCAGGCGCAGAATAAATAATTAATTATTTAATTACTTAAACAAACACTTATTTTGAAACATGACTGTATTCTCTCGCTTACATCTCGGTCATTTGAGTGCCCAAATTTAAACCACAAGCTAGCAAAATGAGTAAGAAACAGACGTCTTTGGAAAGCTTTTTTGCTAAGAGGAAAAGGCCCAGTGAACTGCCATGGAATAGATCTGCAACCCATTTTTCAACAATTTAGGTGAATCCAGCATGTCTGTGCAACAAGATCAACTTTTAGGGGCCGTTCAATTTTCAATGGAGATGTGCGGCTTGCACCTGCAAGCGGCGGGATGTGCTCGCGCCTTCCAGACGCAACCAGTTGAAAAAATGCTGCGAGCGCACCAAGAGTCAAGTGACAAGAACAGTCCAATCAGCTTCATACTTTGTATGGAATATACACATTTCGGTAAACTAATTATTTTAGAAAAACACAGAGCACGCAAACACTGTAGCGCTTTTTCATTTTCTCCATAAATAAAACTTGTATCAGAGTTAAAACATTGTTTTGTCAGCTTGTCATCCTCTGAGAATATGGTTGGTGGTCGCCTAGCAATCTATGTACACTCCCCCCTGCCCCCTTGGTCCCTGGTAAAATTGTCCAGCGTTAACCAGTCTTTGGTGATACAAAGGTTGGGGACCACTGACCTAATGAACCACTGACGTCAACCCTTCCCTAAACTATAACCAATAGTGTTTTCAACAGCAAAAGTATAAGAAAAGATAGTTTTATCTATAGCTTTTATCTCTTTTGTGAACCTGTGGCATTTATTTGTCATAAGTATGCTTTTGTAATTACAAAGCATGCTAGGTACAAGAAACCTGCTGTGACTTATTTATTTTAAGTAAAAAGAACTTTCATTAATATTTGAGTTAAAGTTAAAACTCATTTAATTGAATTAATTGATTTTACAGTGAATGAGTGCTTTTTTATTATGGTATCTGTATATTTCTCAGATTCTTGATTTGTGTACTTTGTCCACGCTTGGTTGTAACCAATTGTACTTTTTAATATTTTTGTGTTACATTTTTCTTTCATCAAAAGAAAGTTTAAAGTATTCACATTTTTTAAACCTTTTTTGGTAATAATACTTGCTGTATTACTAATGAAAATAATTAAATAATACTCACTATTCACTCACTCTCAAGTGCTTCCAAACCTTGAAAACCTTCTGAAAACCTGTAACCATTGACATCCATACTATAGGATTAACAGATACTATCCAAGTTCATTTTTAGAGGTTACCAGTTTTCTTCAGAACAGCTTCTTTCGTTTTCAACAGAAGAAAGATAGTCAAACATGTTTGTGTCACCTGAAGGGTTGGTAAATGGTGACAGAATATTCAGTGTTGGTTGTGTTACCCTTTTGCTGTATTAGGGCCAGATTTATTCAAATAATGTAAGACGGCAATCTCATAAAATTCTGCAGATGATCTAATGACAATTTTAAAAACACAAACACAACCGTTATTTGGCCACTGTAATCTACAAAGAGCACCGCAAATTATTGATAATGTGGCTTTGTAATCGATATGTTGGCATAATGACGTCTTCTAGCATTACAACAGTGAAGAACATCACAAATCTTTCACTGCAAGTTCATCCTGACAGCCCAAACTAAATGGTTTGCGTTGTTATGAGATGATATTTATTTGCCTTGTGTGTCCAGACTATGAAGCAGCGCTAAAGAAAGAAGGGGGTGTTCCTGATGGTCCTGTCCTGGAGTCACTCCTCAGCGGTGAACTGCTGGATAAAAAGGTGGAAACAAAGGAAGAGGAACCCATGAGCGAATGCCAGGTAAGAAAGATTCCTCCTAGGATGACTCTTTTTTTTGCAGAAACAAACACTCGACAGTCAACTAGATAAAGACTTCTTTCACACTCTCTTCCATGAAGACACTGTCCCTGTGTGTCGTTTTCTTTTTTCAGTACCCTCTTTCCCACCATTCAGAGTTTCCGTCTGCTGGCATCTTCCTCTCTTCAGCTCTTCCCTCATTCTCTCCGTCTTCCTCTCTGATTTCTCTATAGTACTTGTGTCTCTTCTTGGCAGAAACACAAATGCCTGCAGGGCCGACACGCCTCCTCTGGCAGACTTCCTTGTTAACCACAAAGTGTGTATATATATATTTTGCGAGTGTACATTTGTTATCGTTGTGTGAATATGCCGGTATGTTTGACAAGTCGGTTGTATTGATTTTGCGGAGAATGCTTTCTTCAACATCTCCGGGTTTGCGGGAAGTAACGTTTATATAACCGCTTTGACACACGGATGCTCATAGATCATAATGAAGCGGCGTGCGTTTAGATTGAGCTGTCAGTAGTGTCGCCACCCTCGCTGTTTAGCACACAACATGACATCTATCCCAGAGGCGGACAGTTAACCAATTAGCACTTCAATTAAGAGTCAGTCTTTGGAGTGCCGCGTCTCCTGGGAGTGGACCTGTGATCCTGCTGCTTGTGTCGCCTCAGGAGTTAAACAGCTGCGCATCTCCCTGCTATTTCACTTCTGCAGCCGCGCATTATGAGTGCACTCACAGTTGTCCACTTGTTAGGCAGTTCTCGTCAGAGTCAAGGGCTTACTTTCAACCAAAAATGGACATGTGCTGTTATTTTACTGAAAGGAATGGGTCACCTAAAAATGAAAATTACCCCATAATTTACTCCATCCTCTGTGTAAATGACTTTTTTCTCGGTCAGACAAACAGAGTGAGTAATTTTAAATTTTATCCTGGCTCTTCCTTGCTGTTTAATGGTGTTGGATAGTGGCTTTTATTTTGAAGCTTACAAAAAGTGGGGGTTAATGGATGTCTGTGACACACCAAACCAATCCTATACAACTAGTGCAGACGAAAATGGACGTGATCTTCCAGCCATCAAAATTCACATTGTGTACACCTGGCTTTAACCTTCATCTGTACAAGATGTGGGTGACTTTTAGTTTTTTTTTAGTTGAATATTAAAAATAAATTTTTAGATTAAAATGTGGTCATTGGTGATTCATATTAGGGCTGCACGATATTGGAAAATTCTGATATTGCGATGTTTAATATTTCTGTGATTAAATATTGTGATATTCAATTTGATATTTTATCGTTATTTCTTTAGCCACCACAGTGTCTGCTCAGGATACGGCCTGGTCCAGGATTATGGAAACCTCTGGAATAATAAAACCAGACTAATATAAAAGTGTTCTCAGCTCTGGTTGCCCTAAATGATGCAGAATAGCAATGCTTTATGTTATGGTTTCATGGCTAGTATAATGCATAGCTTGCTCTCTGTAACTCTCACATGGGTGCCCACTTAAGCTAAGCAGGGCTGCGCCTGGTCAGTACCTGGATGGAAGACCACATGGGAAAGCTAGGTTGCTGCCGAAAGTAGTGTTAGTGAGGCCAGCAGGGGGTGCTCAACCTGCGGTCTATGTGGGTTCTAATGCCCCAGTATATTGATGGGGACTCTATACTGCTCAATGAGCGCCATCTTTCGAATGAGACGTTAAACTGAGGTCCTGACTCTGAAAAAGTAGGGGTTTAACCTCGGCGTCCTGACCAAATTTGCCCACTGGCCTCTGTCCATCATGGCCTCCTAACCATCCACATATCATAATTGGCCCTTCACCAATCAGCTGGTGTGTGGTGTGCAGTCTGGCGCAATATGGCAGCCATCACGTCATTCATGTGGATGCTGCACACTGGTTGTGAATGAGGAGATTCCCCTCAAAAAATGCGTAAAGTGTTTTGAGCGTCCAGAAAACCACTATATAAATGTATAGAATTAATAATTATTATTATTAAGGTAAATATGAACTGAGGCTCAGATCAAATCCTGTTGGTTCTTACTGCAACTTTAACCTGACACATGACACACAAGAGTGAACCCTATCGGTTCTCATGCATCAAGCAAGCATACTTCAAATGTTGAATGCTGTAAACATGTTTTCTGTTCAATGAATAAAACCCTAAATTAAATTAGCTCTTTAAAACCAGTCATATATCTTTTCTTATGGATTTATTGTTTCTAGAATTGCTAAACCTGAAATAGTTTAAAGAAAGAGCTTAGCCAAATAGCAAAGCTCTCAATTTACCGGTCAATCTACGTTCCTACTTTCACCTATGGTCATGACTCATGGGTCATGGCCGAAAGGACAAGGTCTCGGATACAAGGGGCTGAAATGAGTTTCCTTCGCAGGGTGGGAGGGCTCACCCTTATAGACAGGGTGAGAAACTCTGTCACCCGGGATGAGCTCTGAGTAGAAGCCGCTGCTCCTCCACATCGAGAGAAGTCAGCTGAGGTGGTTCGGGCATCTGTTTCAGATGCCTCCAGGAAGCCTACCTAGGGTGGAGTTCCAGGCATGTCCCACCGGGAGGAGGCCTCGGGGAAGACCCAGGACATGCTGGAGGGACCATAGGCTGATTTATACTTCTGCGTCAAGCACATGCATATGCTACGACGCAGCCAACGCGTTGACACATAGCTCTACGCCGTGGCGTCAGCATCGCTGACACGCACCTCTCAAAAAATGTAACTACACGTCGTAATGACACATAGCACAAGCTCTGTGATTGGTCAGCTTGGTAGCGTTGACGAGTCTGGGCAGGGACGAGGGCCGTGCGAGCCCGATGGAGCAAGTGTTTACAAGTGTGGAGTCCCATGAAGGAGCTCCAGATGGAAAGTTTTATTTTGTGTTTACCTCATGGTTAAAGTTGTTGCACGTCCGCTGGTCCCTGCCTCAAAATGAGCGAGTTTAAGCCACTTGTACATTCAGGAAGTGTTCAGAAAAAACAGAACACCAGCGAAGAAACTCGACACAGAGGAATATTAACACCTCACTGCCAACTATCGTTTCGGAAGTGTTATTGCAGAGCAAAAGAAACAGCGCGCAGAAGAATAATGCACAGCTACTCGTGTTGCATGCACCGTGGGTCACACCGATCACTTGACGCAGAAGTATAAACCGACTAGCCTGGGATCACCTCGGGATCCCCCCGGAGGAGCTGGAGGAAGTGACTGGGGAGAGGGAAGTCTGGAGTTCTCTCCTAAGATTGCTGCCCCCGCGACCAGGCCCCAGATAAGCAGATTAAAATAATAATGATGATGATGATGATGATGATGAAGTTTCCCATTCAATTTTGCATACAAACATTAACAAAATAACAGTAACTCTGGTGGCACATATAGGATTTACGATTAAACCATAGTCCCAAATTGCATATGTATGCACTATTCTATGCCATTTTGTAGTAAAAATAGTGTAAGTAGTGCATTCACACTGAAAACTCTAAAAATAATAAGTGCACTTTAATTGCCCGGTTGATGCACTTAGGCCCAATTCCAATTCTACATCTTAGCCATTCCCCTCACCCCTAGCCTTCCTTTTGCGTGTTTACATCAAGTTGTAGGGGTGTCCCAATTCTCTTTAGCTTAAAGGCGTAGGGCTAAGGGGAAGGTGTCAGGGTTCTGCCACTCTGATCTTGTAAATTCTTGTTTTGGTGGCAGATCTCTGACACTACTCGTGTCTGGTCCTGTTTCTGTCTCTGTGTGCGCGCGCGCCGTCGTGGGTGTACGCAGAGTGTGCGCGCTCCTGCTTGACGCAGCCGCGTGCGCGCTCTGCGTCCCTCAGACGCGTGCGCTCTTGTACTCGTGTTTGTGTTTTCGTCTGTCAGCAGCATGGTGTTTCATTCCCAGCGTCTCAGTCTTGTTGGTTTCGGTTTTGGTCGGCGCTGGGATGAAGCATGCATGCTGCATATGTGAGCGCATGGTGAGTTTTCATTCATCGTGTGCTCGTGTCTTGCGTCTTTTGTCAAAGCACGTGGCTCGGTGTTTACATTGTGGTCACGTGCTTTTGTCGTGTGCTTCAGTGTTGTGTTATGTGAGCGCATGGCTTGTATTGTCTCTCTGTGTCATGCGCTCTCCCGTCTATTGTCTAGCCCCACCCTCCTTGTTAACCCATTATTAGTTTGTCATGTTCACCTGTGTGTCAATTTACTTTTTGCTTTATAATCCCCCTCATGTTTTCAGTCCTTTGCGAGTTCGTCATCATATGTTGTCGATGTTTACCTGTCTTGCTGTGTCCAGTCCTGCCTTGTCGTGCCTGCCCAGTCAAGTTTGTTTGTTTGATTTATTGTTTGTTGTAGAAGTGTTTTCCCCCTCGGGGTTGTTTATTTTGCCTTTTATTTTTATTTTTTAATTAATAAATCCTACTTCACTCTGCGCTTGGGTCCTTGCTCCTTTTTCCCTTTACCGGATCGTGACAGTACGAACTCGCCAAAAATGAGGACCCAGCAGAGTGAAGACAGCCCCTTCTCCAGCCGGATACTGCAGCTCATCAGTCTGCAGTCGCTGCGGCAACGTGGCATGAAGGTGGAAAGTTTTGCGGCTAAATTTTGTGTGGCAGCAGAGGGGCTGGGGTTTAATGATCAAGCCCTGGTGAACCTCCTTAACTATGCCCTTGACAAGCCCCTCAATATCCAGCAGATGCTGAAATTGGGAGGGCTATCTTACCATCAGTTTGTGGAGCATTTGGTTCATCAGGCTGCTTATGGCGAACATCCCAATCCCAGCTCTCTGTTGCCCTCTGCTCTGCAGCTAAAGGAGAGAGTGATCCTTCAAGAGAAGAGGATCCCTTACACCAGCGCCACCTCCCAACACATGTCCAGCCCGCAAGGGCTGACCCGCACTCAAAAGCGGAGGTTAAAGAGGAAGACCTCTGCTGCAGTGTCGACTCCAGCCCCAGAGCGCCCTCCAGTGTCGGCTCCAGCCCCAGAGCGCCCTCCAGTGTCGGCTCCAGCCCCAGAGCGCCCTCCAGTGTCGGCTCCAGCCCCAGAGCGCCCTCCAGTGACGGCTCCAGCCCCAGAGCGCCCTCCAGTGTCGGCTCCAGCCCCAGAGCGCCCTCCAGTGTCGGCTCCAGCCCCAGAGCGCCCTCCAGTGTCGGCTCCAGCCCCAGAGCGCCCTCCAGTGTCGGCTCCAGCCCCAGAGCGCCCTCCAGTGTCGGCTCCAGCCCCAGAGCGCCCTCCAGTGTCGGCTCCAGCCCCAGAGCGCAGCTCAGTGCCGGTCCCAGTCCGGCTCCTTGTCCTGCCGGCACCACCCAGACGTCTTGCCCTGCCGGCCTCAACCAGACGTCTAGCCCTGCCGGCACCAGCCCGGCTTCTTGCCCTGCCGGCATCAACCAGACGTCTTGCCCTGCCGGCGCCTCCCAGACGTCTTGCCCAGCTGGCTCCAGCCCGGCTCCTTGCCCTGCCGGCTTCAGCCCAGCTCCTTTCCCTGCCGGCACCACCCAGACGTCAAGCCCTGCCGGCCCCAGCCCGGCTCCTTGCCCTGCCGGCACCACCCAGACGTCTTGCCCAGCCGGCTCCAGCCCGGCACCTTTCCCTGCCGGCACCTACCAGACGTCTAGCCCTGCCGGCCCCAGCCCGGCTCCTTGCCCTGCCGGTCCCAACCAGACGTCTTGCCCTGCCGGCCCCAGCCCGGCTCTTTTCCCTGCCGGCCCCAACCAGACGTCTTGCCCTGCCGGCGCACCCCAGACGTCTTGCCCAGCCGGCCCCAGCCCGGCTCCTAGCCCTGCCGGCTCCCCTCTGGTCTTCAGCCCCGCCGGCTCCCCTCTGGTCTTCAGCCCCGCCGGCTCCCCTCTGGTCTTCAGCCCCGCCGGCTCCCCTCTGGTCTTCAGCCCCGCCGGCTTTAGTTAAGTCGCCTCTAGACCAGCCGGCTCCCCACAGGCCTTCATCCCAGCCAGCTCCCTACAGGCCTCCTGCCTTGCTATCCCAGGCCGATCCTCCTTGGGTTGTCCCTCCTGCTCCACCTTGGAGCATGCCTCTGCCACCCTGGACTGATCCTCCGGCTCCACCCTGGTTCCCTGCCGGGGTCCCTGACCCATTGCACCTGTCCTGGACTGTCCCTCCTGATCCTCCCTGGTTTTGCCCTCCCATCCCTCCCTTGTTTGTCTTATTGGGTCTGACTTGGCTCCCCTCCCTCCCCCCCTTCATGTCTTGCCTGTTCACCTCCCTGTCTTGTGTTTGTTGATGTTGCCTGTTTTGTTGTCTTGTGGTGTTTCTTGTCTGTCTTGTACATTGTTGGATGTTCCCTTTAGGGACGCCAGGTGGCGTCCCTTTTGGGGGGGGGTAGTGTCAGGGTTCTGCCACTCTGATCTTGTAAATTCTTGTTTTGGTGGCAGATCTCTGACACTACTCGTGTCTGGTCCTGTTTCTGTCTCTGTGTGCGCGCGCGCCGTCGTGGGTGTACGCAGAGTGTGCGCGCTCCTGCTTGACGCAGCCGCGTGCGCGCTCTGCGTCCCTCAGACGCGTGCGCTCTTGTACTCGTGTTTGTGTTTTCGTCTGTCAGCAGCATGGTGTTTCATTCCCAGCGTCTCAGTCTTGTTGGTTTCGGTTTTGGTCGGCGCTGGGATGAAGCATGCATGCTGCATATGTGAGCGCATGGTGAGTTTTCATTCATCGTGTGCTCGTGTCTTGCGTCTTTTGTCAAAGCACGTGGCTCGGTGTTTACATTGTGGTCACGTGCTTTTGTCGTGTGCTTCAGTGTTGTGTTATGTGAGCGCATGGCTTGTATTGTCTCTCTGTGTCATGCGCTCTCCCGTCTATTGTCTAGCCCCACCCTCCTTGTTAACCCATTATTAGTTTGTCATGTTCACCTGTGTGTCAATTTACTTTTTGCTTTATAATCCCCCTCATGTTTTCAGTCCTTTGCGAGTTCGTCATCATATGTTGTCGATGTTTACCTGTCTTGCTGTGTCCAGTCCTGCCTTGTCGTGCCTGCCCAGTCAAGTTTGTTTGTTTGATTTATTGTTTGTTGTAGAAGTGTTTTCCCCCTCGGGGTTGTTTATTTTGCCTTTTATTTTTATTTTTTAATTAATAAATCCTACTTCACTCTGCGCTTGGGTCCTTGCTCCTTTTTCCCTTTACCGGATCGTGACAGAAGGGGTGAATAGCCCTTTGAACAAAGATTTTTCACTACCACACTCGAAACCAAGGGTTAAGAAAATTTCTCAGAATTCACCAGCCACAACAGCAGTATTGCTGAACCCGGAAGTAAGGAGATTTATAAATTTGTATTTTTTGTCATTATTACAAATATTTACGATAAACAAACACATGTTTTAATATATTCATAACCATGTTCATGTTTTACCGTCATGCTTTTTAAAATAAACGCAAAAAAAACTGCTAAATTTCGCTATCTATAATCCCAAATAGCAACTCCTGTATAGCAGTCCCACAACATTCTGACACTCGATGACACTCGAATACCCTGTCAGAATAAATATGAATGCAGATGCAGATGAATATGGCCACTGTGTAAATGCACAGTACAGTTACGATCTTATTGCCACATTATGTCGTTATGATAACATAATATATGCCTTCAGTGATTTCCTGAATAGAAATGCTAAAAAAATAGAACAGCTGGAATAACTACAGCAGTCGCCATCGTCTGATCTCATATGAAGCATGAGATCCCGATGACATATGATGACGTGTGCAGGTGCTTTAGTGCTGTCCCAATTCTTAGGGGTAAATTTAAAGCCCTTCCCCTTAACCCTCAGTTGTAAGGGCCAAGTCAACTGGTAAAATTAAGTGTGGAATGATGGACACTTCATGTACTCCACGAACGCAGCTTTGCTCATGTAGCAGAAGGGGTGGAGCTATCGGGCACACATGTTAGCTTACTTTAGTTATTTTGAATTGTGAAAGCAAAATTCTCCTACAAGAGTTATTATACCGCCTCCCAATGGTGAATTCTTATTCTCATGGCAAGTATTTTTTGGTACTTTGGTCGTTTACTTTACTAATTTGGCAACCATCAAACATCATCAGGAAAATGGTTTGAATTTCCACTTAGTAAAAAAAAACTTAGTATTCCACTACACTTCATACATATACAATGTTGTTGAGTGTGTAAGTGCATAAGTATGTAATGCATAAGTGCATAGTGTATAGTTTGCAATTTGGGACGCAGCTCATGTCTAGACCAGTCAGAAATACTGCAAACCGAATAAGAGATGAGGCTGTTGGTGCTACTAGGAGGAGATAGACAATAGAGGAAAGGATTATAGAGCCATGGCAACAAGACTCCTGTCTTCATCATATATTTTCTACACTCTTGATAATTCAAGTCAGCCAAATGTTCTACCTTCTCAATGAAATCACCCATTAATTAAAGCAAAAGATGAATGTTTGGAAGGCAACATGTTGTCTGACGTTTCTCTTAGAGTTTTGTTGTCAGAATCAGATCATCTTTTTGTGTGTGTATTACAGTAACTGCAACCCCAACAATTGTGTTTTGCCATTACAAACCAATGTTTATTGCGAACCGATGTGAAGCTTGGTTTCCCTATAGTTGTTTTCAAGGTCTGGTATTCTCCCACTCTCTCTTGTCTCTCCTGCAGCAGCTTGTTTGCCATTCCAGTGTTGTTCATATAGTGCGGCTGACTCATGTGTGCTGGTCTTTTCTTGTGCTTACAGAAGCTGCTGATGGGAGAGTTTCCTCATGAGCTGGACATGGAGGAAATGGAGGAGGACGTTCCCAAACGCAAGAATCGCACCAAAGGACGGGTAAAACACATGCAGCTGTTACATGCAGTCACTAATTAATAAGGATGAATCATTCCTATACTACAGTGAATCATTCTGTTTTGCAGGCTGATTACTTACAGCGCTTTTAAAACTCTGCTGGTTTTTCTTTGGGATTGATTTTAAAGTGCCCCTATTTTTAAATATTACCTTTCATACATCTTGTAGCTGTAGCTATGAATGTGAAAAGTCTGAAATATCAAAGTGCACATTGAGTAAAGTCATAGCCTTCTAAAAGAAGAATGTAATCAAAACAATTTGTTATCAATACCAGTTTCACTTCTGTAACTGATCTATGTAAATCTGTAACACATTTGCATTGTGGCTCTTCGTTATCTGTCTGCAAGCAATTATTATCGAAACATTTATTCTTGTGTGAGAACACACGGTGAGAAACCATGCGGGAACATGTTATCACTGTGTTATTTGCTGAAAGCACTGATTCATCCAGGAAACATGCAAATTCATGCTAACAATATGCTAACATTGCTAACAACTTTGTTAAATCATGCTTGAAATATTTTATAAGTGTCCAAAACGTTGATAGCAACTCTTAAAATTTTTAATTGTTGCTAGAAACATGCTGACAACATTAGAAAATACAGTTCATACTAGAAAATGCATGCTAACAATATGCTAACCCTTGCTAACAACTTACTATATCATGCTAAAAATATTTTAGAAATGTTTAATCATATAACAAGCTAAAATGTTAACAATGCTAGATCATGCTAGAATCATTCTAGCAACATTTTAATTGACACTAGAATTACACTAGCAACATGTTAATTTATGTTAGAATTGTTAACAACTGGCTAACCTGTCTGTAGAAACATGCTAAAACATGTCAGTTGATATTGGAAGCATACTAGCAGGATGTGAATTAATGCTAGTAACATGCTAACAACATGTTAACCTTGCTAACATGTCAGTTCATACTAGAAACATGTCAGTTCATACTAGTTTTCGCAATACTTGATAAAACATGTCAATTGATGTTGAAAAGATGATAACAACAAGCTCATTCCTGCTATCACCGTGCTAATTCATTCTTAAAAAGGTTACATGCTGGTTGTTGGTGTTGTTGTTTTATTGGTCATGTGCTGGACCAGCAAAGTTCCAGTAAGGACTAGCATATGACTAGCAAAGGCTAAAACCAGCTGCCATGTTTCAGGACCTACCAAACTAGCAAAGGTTGTGCTGTCATTATGCTAATTCATGTCAAGTTAACATCAAAATGTGTCATCAAAGTTTACTCATCTAGTGTTATTTACAACGAGTATTGTTTATTTCCTTGTGTCTGTGTCAGAAGGGACCTGCTATGCATTTTCAGGTGCCAAATGTCCAGCGATCCTCTGCTATGGGTAGCAATTAGATCCACTACCCAAACTGACGGTTTGATAGCAACATATCAGATTGTTATTCTTGCTAGAAAATAGCTGACAACGTGCTAATCTTGCTAACATATAGCATATTCAAAATAAAACATGCATATTTATGCTAACAGTATGCTAACCATCAATGACAACTTGTTATATCATGCTAGAAACATTTTAGAAAATGCTTAATCATATAGCAACAAGCTAAAGTGTTAACATTGCTAGTTCAGCCTAGAAACATGCTAGCAACATGTTAACTGATATTGGAAATACGCTAGCAACATTTTTTGATGGTAGAAATGTTTACAACATGCTAATCTTGCTAACATGTCAGTTCATACTAAAAACATGTCCGTTCACACTAGTTTTAGCAGTACATGCTAAAACAAGGGTGCCCAAAACTCTGTCCTGGATCACCACTGTCCTGCAAAGTTTAGTTCCAATCACAATCAGACACATGGACAAGCTAATTAAGCTCTTACTAGGCTTTCTAGAAACATCCTTGCAGGTGTGCCGAAGCAAGTTAAAGCTAAAAACTGCAGGACACCTGCCCTCCAGGACTAAGTTTGCTAAAACAGCTGGACCCTGTGCTAAAACATGTTAGTTGATGTTGAACATGCTAACAACATGCTCATTCCTGCTATCAACATACTAATTCATTCTTAAAGATGTTATATGCTGGTTGTTGTTGTTGTTGTTGTTGTTGTTTTAATGGTCATGTGCTGGATCAGCTAAGATCCAGCAAGGACTAGCATATGACTAACAAGGACTAAAATCAGCTGTCATGTTTTAACCTACCAAACCAGCATAGATTGTGCTGTCATTATGCTAATTCATGCTAGAAACATGCTAATTCATGCAGCTTTGTCAGGCTAACATTAAAATTTGTCATCAAACTTTACTCATTTAGTGTAATTTACATCTAGTATTGTTTATTTCCTTGTGTCTGTGTCAGAAGAGACCTGCTATGCATTTTCAGGTCGCAAATGGCCAGCTGGGATCCACTGCTTTAGGTAGCAATTAGATCCACAACCCAAACTGACGGTTTGAAATGAATATATCACAGACCTGTATGTTTGCAGTGAGCCCTGCAGGGTCTTTGTTTAATCTAGGATTCCCATTTCTTCAAGGCTGCTGTCTGAACAAAGCAGGCCATTGTAGCTCATCAGCCATTGATCCATTATGGCTGTTTAGCACATCTCCAGGTTTGATCCCAGCGTACCTTTCATCATTGCGTTCCTCTGGCTTTGTGTTGATTCAAAGCAGCTTCTTCCCAACCGCATGAAAAACATCTTTTAATACCACTTTAAAGACAACACCTGATGTGTGATAGCACACCGAAGACATGGCCGAGTTCATCTGTAATTATAACCCCACATACATGAAAGACTGGGGTGGAAAGTGGTCCTGTGTAGAAATGCATGCAACTGCAGTAACAATGACAAAAGCTCGCCTGACCGAGATACTCATGAGTTATTATTATTAAGCAGGGAGTGTGGATTGAAATATGGTGGTTGATGTATTTGACATAAATTTGCATGTTAGATTGATACGTTTTCATGCTAAAATTGGAGTTGCAAAATTATAAAATGTGGAAATTGTTGTTATCAAAAGATCCTATCATAAGACGTAACAATTTTAGTTATTTCAGCATACGATCCAGTAGGCAATATTGTCTCAAACAATGGCAGTTCAAGGCAATAGCATCAGTTTGTTGAGCAATATAGGACATACAGGCCCCAAATTTTTTTTTATTAGCTGATTATGTAAATATTTTTCTGAATTTAGTGCTGTCAAAACAATTACAAAATCAAAACAATTACTGCACAGCATCATAAATGGCAACTACATTATTTTCAGTAAACTTGTGTTAATAATATTGGCAAAATTACAGTCAGTTTTGTTTTGTTTTATATTATGTTATGTTATGTTATGTTATGTTATGTTATGTTATGTTATGTTATGTTACGTTACGTTATATTATATTATATTATATTATATTATATTATATTATATTATATTATATTATATTATATTATATTATATTATATTATATTATATCATATTGTATATTCATTCATTCATTCATTTTCTTTTCGGCTTATTCATTTTCTTTTCGGTCCCTTTTTTAATCCGGGGTCGCCACAGCGGATCGCCAACTTATCGAGCACGTTTTTATGTGGCGCATGCCCTTCCAGCCGCAACCCATTTCTGGGAAACATCCACACACACTGCGTTGCCCCCATATTGTATTATATTATATTACATTATATTATTTTATATTATATTATATTATATTATATTATATTATATTATATTATATTATATTATATTATATTATATTATATTATATCATATTATATTATATTATATTATATTATATTATATTATATTATATTATATTATATTATATTATATTATATTATATTACAGTATAGAATATGACTATAACAGTGGTTATAGTACTCTTTTACTTTCCTTCAGCTTAGTCCCTGATTTATTAGAGATTGCCACAGTGGATTTAACCACCAAGTGTTCTGGCATACAGTATGTTGTGTGTAGCTGAGTATTGTAGTTAACTAAAACAAAAATTGAACTTCATTATAAACTTTAACTAATAAAAATATTACAATTTTCCAGCACAGTGCTGGGTTGCGGCTGGAAAGGGCATCCACTGTATAAAATATATGCCAGAGTAGTTGGCAGTTTATTCCGCTGTGGCAACCCCTGATAAAGTAAAAAAAAAATTTGTAAAAATTTTAAATGTATTTTATTTTAGTTAATTGTCAAGAAATATAACTTTGAGTAAAAATATGGTTAAACCAATACCTAGCCTTTTTCTATTGCATTTTTACTCCATTTACATGCTTTGAATAACAAATTGTCATCTTATTTACTACTTTAATTCCAACTCATCAGCAGAATTCCCATGTCAGTGCACAGAGCTCGTTCCTGGCAGAAATGACTGGAGTTTCAGTATTCTAGTCTAGCAGATTTCCATATGAGGATAACAAACAAAAAGTCTTGGCCCGCATCCCTCGAATCTCTCACCTTCTGTGCTGTTAATTGGGGCACACAACTTCCTGTAAGATCTGTCACTCCCCACACAGAAGAGATGCTGTGATAATGGTGTGTGAGGTATAATTAATGCTGTGTAAGAGGATTTGCTGTAAGAAGGAAGAAGGAAGTGGAGTGGGGGGCTGCCGAGGGGACTAAATAACCATACTTCCCCATCCGCACCTGTGTAAAATAAACCAGTCGCCAACTGTAAATAAGCTTTAATAAATTTAATGACATTTTTGTGGCCTAAAATGACCAAAGTTTACAACAATATTTTGCAGAATTTATGTTGTACATGACACAAACCTCTTTTACATAACCACCATTAAAATAATGTACATATCAGAATCATGACGTGTCCATTCACGCTGGTCTTCTGAGGTAATAAACTTACTTCTGAAAGCAAATCTCCTCCCAAAATATCAGTGACCCCTTTGTTTACAAGTTTTTGACTGTTCATATGGCCATGTGAAATGCATTTGAATGGCAGAGGTGGAAATTCCTTCAAAATATCGAGGCCACATTGGCTCGATTAAAATTTTTTTTAGTGTAGGAAAATGGATAAACTACTTTAAAATTAATTATACACATGCTGAAACCTTTTATCCTTTTATTTTCTAATTGTTCAACCAAACCTGAGCTTGTGACGTCGCCTTTAAAACAATAGTCCTTAACGGACCAGCATCCAGGCTATTAAATATTATTACTTAATTATATATATGTATGTTAGCAGGCTTACGTTCATTGCATATGCATAAATTAAATAAAAACATAAATTAGTAATGTTATTACACATTTGTTATTAAAATCATGTCATATTTTGCTGACAAACATCTTGCTGCTGTGCACCTGAGGCTGAGCAAAGATAGCCATTTCCGAGCAGAACCTGGTTTGCATGATTGCTTCCGAGCAAGGCCTATATAACAACAACAACAACAATAATAATAATAATAATAATAATAATTATTATTAATTTTGTTTACTTAGGTTTTTTATTAGTTGTTAGAAGAAACAGAATAAGAACACATTAGGCCCTGGGGCTTTAACAAAGAGTACAATTTGTTTTTATTTTATTTGCTCCTATTTATATATATATATATACAGTTGAGGTCAGAATTATTAGCATTTTTTTCTTTTTAAATATTTCTCAAAAGATGTTTAACAGAGCAAGAAAATTTTCACAGTATGTCTGACAATATTTTTTCTTTTAGAGAAAGTCTTTTTTGTTTTATTTCGGCTAGAATTAAATTAATTTTAAAAACCATTTTAAGGTTCAAATTATTATCCCTTAATAATTAGCCCCTATTAGCTTTAAGCTAATTTTTCTTTCGATAGTCTACAGAACAAACCATCGTTATAGAATAACTTGCCAAATTACTCTAACCTGCCTAGTTAACCTAATTAACCTAGTTGAGCCATTTAATGTCATTGTAAGCTGTAAAGAACTGTCTTGATAAATATCTAGTCAAATATTTGTACTGTCATCATGACAAAGATAAAATAAATCAGTTATTACAAATGAGTTAATAAAACTATTATGTTTTATTGGGACTGCTAAATGAACTTGTGCATGTTTACATGTGTGATTTTTGTGTTTTTTATGTGTCCAGGCATGTGGTATTGGTGGGATGAGAAAGAGACAGGATCCAGCATCTCTGGAGGATCGAGACAAGCCATATGTGTGTGACAGTGAGTATCATGCTAAACTAATAAACACAGTATAGCTCTGTTGTTGAAGCAGGCAGTGGGAGACTAGTACTAGAGCACCATAGATAAACGTGTACAGTGCTGTCCTCCCGATAATGGCATGCTTAATGACAAGTTTCACTATGGCGATTCATCTTGTGTGACAATAGCCCATTTCACACATCGATACCGGTAAATATCTGTTAAATTTGTCCGGTGAATTCAAAAATGTGCTGTTCACACAGACAAGGATGTTCAAGAATTTTTCTAAAAAAGACCCTTCACACATCCATTCCAAAATATCTGTAAATTCTGACATCATTACCCAGATATGAGCTCTAAACGCTGCGCTTGTATTTGTACACATAGAAGGGGTCTGGCTTTTGTTGATGGTTTTACTTTAATTTTAAAGCTTTAGCATTTGTGCAGCTGCTTTGTCCCAGACGCATCCAAAGGCAGAAGCGCGAACCGCAGCTAAATGTTTACACATTTGATGACATTACAAGTTCTGTGGATGGATAAGTATTGTGAATAACTTTGATGAAAATATATGAAGGGACACCTTTACATGTCGAGATGTTCATAATATGTGTGTATGCTGGCGCACACTGGCTGCTTCACGTGCACACGCTTTAAGCAACTGAAGCAGAGCTTGAAGGTAAACAAACAGCAGTTTATCATAGGCATTTCATCGACAATTTTTTACACAGTTGGCATTAATAATGAACATAGAAATGTTGTCTGACTAACACCTAGCAGCTAAATGTGTCTGGAAAAATATTCCAAGGCTTTTATTTTCATAAACAGCAAGGATGTGAGCATGTTCTAAGCATGAACGTGCTCTTTCCGGCAATCTTCCTTCTGCATTCACACAGAGCAGCATTCCGGCAAATTAACAGTAATGTTACAACTTCTTTTCCTGGAAAATTGCCAGAACGAATTCACCGGTATTTTCAGTAAGAGCCTGTTCACACATGATCCCTTTCTAGAAAATGCCGGTAATTTTCCAGTTAGGTTTGTATGTGTGAAAGGGGCTAATGTTTTATATGCTCTTTTTCCATGGGCAATAAGTCAATGAATGTTTACATGCATTAATTAAAATAGATAGAATTTTAAATATTATTTAACAAATATAATACATTTAATAAAGTGGTTATTGATCAATTACTAATATTAAATATATATATATATATGTGTATACGATCTATTACTATATAAATATTTTACTTATTATTGTACTTTATTATATTTGAAAGTACATACAAAATAAATTTTTTTTAACTTTAAGTTATAAATGTAAACAGTATTTAAGTATTAGATTAACTATATTTGCATAGTTATAATTGTATTTAAAACATTTGTTCTACATTTTATTTTTTAAATGTTATATTTGCATATTAAATAAGTTAAAAATATAGTAAATTAAAATAAGTTAGTAAATAATGATGTATATATTTCAAATAAAACACTTGTAAGTCATTTTATTAACCTATATTAAAGGTTAATAAAGTATATTATTTCTCTGATTAAATTAAAATACCAACATAACAATCTGTTGATATAAACATTTCAATTATTGATATTAAGTGAAGTTTAATATCTTAAACTAATTTCGAGAGGAGTACGCGCTCATAAACCAGCTGGCTCACATCAGCTAATCACGATCCTCCAATCAAAGGTTCCTAAGTTCCTATATATATCCTCCTTTTCTCTTTACAACTATCTTCGTCTTGAAGAAACCCCCCTCCTCCCCTTCTTCCACCTTTATCCAGAATAGGTGGCTCGGTGGCCCAGCGACCAGCAGGAATTCCAATGGCTCTGGCTCCTTGCTGGAGCATCTGGCGTTTCTGTGTAGAGCTGACACGTTCTCCGTGTGTCCGCACAGGTTTCTTCGGTTTTCTCTCAAAGCCTAAATATGCTCTATATTTTAGTCCACTTAAACCTAAGTCTCTTTTACTAGACATCTCGCTCTCCGGAAGTTCACGTTGGCCCTAGCTCCGGGAGAGTTTTGAGATCACCCTGAGTTCAGTCTCCCCTCGCCTATTATAGGAGGGAGCCCTGGACTCGAGGATCCCTTTAGTTTAGGGCTCTCTCCCGGGACAGCTTGCCTAACAAGCTTTGTGAGTCGTGAGCTTAGTGTGAACTCTTGAAATAATATAAAAATTTATAATAGCTGCTGCTATACAAATATAATTATTAAACTAAATGATTTATTAAATAATTTTTACAGATAATACTAACTAAATAATAATGTACAAATGATTAAAAAGTACTAAAAATGTGATAGTAAATAATAATAATAAGTTAATATAATAACAACAATAATAACAATAATAATAATAATAAACAGCTGAACCTTTTTTTGACTGTCTGTTTGTTTCCTTGTGTGTTTCTTTGTGTTCAGTTTGTGGAAAGCGATACAAGAACCGTCCAGGTTTGAGTTACCATTACACTCACACACACCTGGCGGACGAGGAGGGTGAGGAAGACTCTGAACGCCACACACTGCCCTTCCAGCGCAAGAACAACCACAAACGTGAGCGCAGCATCAGCCTCAACAACGGATTACACACTCATACCACAACCCATAGAGTACCACTATTCTAACACAATGACCCACTCTCATACCCCTTTTCCACTGACCCCCCGGTGCTGGTGCTGGTGCTGGTGCTGGAGCCGCTGTCCAATCCGGCCCCATCCCGTGCTTTTCCAATGAAATAACCAAGGACCAAATTGACTCCATCTCTTAATCCTGCTGGTCTTTAAATAGCCACCATTATTGCCAGGGACCAAAGGGCGGGATAAAGTTTCCAAAACAGCAACTCATGACAGGACTAGATCGTTCATTTTTTTTAAATCAAGAAAAGCTAAATGGAATTGCCCAATGCAGCTTCTGACTTTCTGTTTTGTCCTCTTTTTTTATGTTCCTACTTTTGCTGTGCTGCAAAGCTACTCAAACCACTTTATTTTCCCCATCTGTCTGAAATAAAAGATTTTATTTACAAATATGTGTCAATTGATTGCTATGAATTTTATTTATCATATACTGAACTCCTAAAACATTTATAGTTTGCTTTTCTCATTGTTTTTAAAGCATTGTGGTTACATTAACATAATATTTTGTCACTAAAAAGAGCTTTTGGTTTCATCTTAGTAAACATTTTGGTTTCCTTTAACAAATATCTGGTTTCAAAGACGTCAACGTAGTATAGTCCTTTTTTATTATTTTAATTATCATACAAAACATACAAAAAGACATTCATACCACACACAACTATGATTAGGATGTTTACACTAGTTGGGTTTCCATCACCGTGTGTGTTAAAGCGCATTTTGAAGTAGCGCATGAGAAACAAGTAATAGAAACTCCAAATTTCCAATATAAGATAAACTTAATTTGCTTATTCAATGTTTATGCTTATCTAGACATGGTTTTGATTTGTATGAAAGTAGTTAATGCCCAAAATAGGAGACAAAAACTTATTTGACGAATAAATGCTACTTTACTTCCCTTACAACTCCATTATACATGCTTTTTTGCTGTTGGTTGCTAAGTTACCAATACCACAGTTAGCTGCTCAAACAGCTTGATGGAAATGCACTCAATTTGCATTTGTTTTTTGCAAACTTTAGATTTTCATTTGGTTCATTTTGGATTGGAAACCTGGCTAACGTCATTTCACAAATTATAAAATTCAATTCATTTTACAGACACTGCTCAGTCTCTATATCTACATCTGTAGCTGCTACAGTAATGAGTTGAAACTCATTCAACAACTAGGGTAAATTGAACATTTAGTTTGTGTTTGTGTTTTTTACAGTCAGATTTTAATGCATAAACTGTGTCCAAAAAAAAAAAAGATGACTCATATTTAGTTTCCAATGGCTTAGATATGTTATAATTTGAGATCCAATGGACTCCGATTTGGATTGGGTTTGTAATCATGGGATTTATTTGTGTTTTTCTCTTTTAAGCCTAAATGGATTTGAATGGGATATGCCCAGAAATCTGCCTGTCTGAAAAAAGACATCTGGGGAGGTTATGGATAAACAGTTATTTCACTCAAGACAATGAAAACGTGGTACAACGCCCCCGAGCACCAGCACCGTTTTGGTGGAAAAGGGTATTAACCATTTCATACATGCATTCTATTAAGGACTCATGGCAGTTACATAATCAGTATTTTGTCATTTTCAGTAAAACTCATCCTAAACATCACAAAACAAGATTTTTTAAAGGAATAGTGCACCCAAAAATTTTAATATGCTGTAAATTTACTCACTTTAGGATGTCCACGACATGTTTTTTTGCTGAAACTGTGGTCCTTGGGAATTCATAAAAGATGTACATAATGTATTGTCACCAAAATGGTGTTAAAAAATTATAAAATTTATATACAAAAATAAATAAAAAATTATATATATATATATATATATATATATATATATATATATATATATATATATATATATATATATATATATATATATATATATAAATTCACCAAGGACCATGATTTCAACTAAAAATCTTATTTAAAGTTTACTGAAGAAAAAAATATCATCCACATCTTGGATGATCGGAAGGTGAGTAAATAAACAATGATGCACTTTCATATTTGGGTCAAATATGTCTTTGAATTACATGTATTTGTTTTACATTATTAATACATCATAATATTAATCTAACACATTTCAGTGAGATTTACTATTGCATACAAAAGTTTGTACATAGCCTTTTTGCTTATTAAAATATGGAAAAATGGTTTGCCAAGACATTGGGTTTTTGAAGTTTGCATAAAAAATGGCAAAGCAATCTCTACTCACACAAATGTGTGAAAAAAAGTTACAATTCTGTATTATGCCAGGCCAGTAGGTGGCAATGTCACTTTATAAAGAACCCCTATTTTTTTTGCACACATGCAGTCCTGTAGTCTACCATTGCTGTTTTGATTGACAAGTACTCACACATGACTGCAGAGCGAAAACGTAGGTCTCATGTGCATGAAATTTTTACAAATTAGCAGTTTTTTTTTAAATGATAACATTTTCAAATGCTTGCACCTTAAAACTAGTTTTTGTTTGCAGTGTTTATGCAACAAAACAGTTGCTATATAAATGGACAACAAAAATTGGTAGACATTTTAACCATTTGACGATCGCAACAGTGTGGTTAGAAAGTTTAGTGCATCACGCGATCAGCTGCTGAAGTCAAATCTACTTTCCCGTGATAGCTCGCACTGAGCCAGAGAAAGACCTGTGGTGCTTGACATAAATCAGTTTATTCAGACATTTAAATACACATCAATACTAGCAAAACATAACATTTGTGGTTTGTAAAATACACTCTGATATCTATGGAGATGACAAAATAATTATTTTGAAACCTTATTGGACAATATACTTTATTCATATCAGATATCAGACACTCTTTAGGCTACTAGAATGTTTACTCTTTTTTCTCCCAGTTAAACAACCATATTTTTATGTATTTTGGGAGAAGTTGAGCAGCCATAATAGATCAAATAATAAGAACACTTAAGCCAGGGAGTCCAAACTCAGTCCAGCTAAAAAAAGCTCTTTCTAGGTATAATAGAAACTTCCAGGCAGATGTGTTGAAGGAAGTTGAAGCTAAACTATGCAGAGGGTCCACCCCGACCCTCCAGGACAGAGTTTGTATACCCCTGACTTAAATGAAGAAATACTGTATATGTTCTCACACTTTTGAGAATCCGGATATCAGATATTTCACAACCTATTTAGGACATTTGTCAATATTTGCAGAAAAGGGGAAAAAAGACATGAAAACAATATTTACAAAAATCATCGAACTGGAGTGAACAATGAAAACTTTAAAGGGGCACGTTCTAAATAATGACGGCATTAAAATTAATTCAAGCAGGGGCAGCATACTTACATATGAAATGTTTAATTCATGTGTAAATGCTTTTTAAGTCTTAAGCTGCAGTCACACTGCGATTTTTTTACTCTTTTGACTTCCATTCATATGCAAATAAATCGTCACCCTGGAATTATAAGGTTCTATCTACATTCTCAATGAATTTGAGATATTGAGCTTTAAAGTTTTTGCAATCCATAGCAAATTTGTTTTAAAAAAAGTCTTAAAATGTAAACAACTTATAAAAAACATCCCATAATGTATATAAGTTGTCATTTAATAAGAATATGTCAAAACCTCAATTTTGACAAAAACGTCAGAGTCTTATAATTCTGATAAGGTGACAAAATGTGCTAGACTGGAAACGCAAGCTTGTGGGACAGCATGTTTTGCGTTTTGTTGCATTCCAAAGTTCAATCTTGATGAACTCTGACATGAATGTGTGAATTCTGCTGCGTAAAATATATTCCAGAGTAGTTGGCGGTTCATTCCACTGTGGCACTCCCTGATAAATTAGGGACTAAGCCACAGGAAAATGAATGGATGTGTGAGACCAATAGCAGATCAAAACATGACCTCTCTGTGCTGAAATATAAAATATGGATCAATCGCTCGTTTGATCAGTGTTGTATCATCTTGTGTTTTATCCCAACTATTTTCGCAGCACGCCAACAGAATTTGACCACAGATTATAGTTAGGCCTACACAGAATCTGCGCACGCAGAAATCCGCAGATTTCCGCAGATTTTCAGCCCATCATTGAGTCTATTTATTTAATTGTGTGGAAATGTGTCTACATTTATATTTATTCACTTTTTGAATTAATTTTAGTAATATTTCTGACCAATATAAAAACGTTCATATGATTTAATAACAATATAGTTAGTAAAGTAATCATTTCTGTCTTATATGACAGACTTGCTGTTTATCAAATAAATGGATCTAATTGGATTTGCATTGTAAACATGAAGTAAAAGTTAAAAAGGTACTTTTTGTTACATATTTGTAATAAGTTACAAAATTATTCCGCATAAATCCACAGATTATTTTTACAATATTCTAGAATATTTGCAGAAATAGCAAAAAATGTCAGCAGATTCTGTCTGGCCCCATTCATAGGGTAGAGCCAAAGCTTCTATCACCATTAGTGTTGTAAAACTCACACAAGCTTCACAGATAAGTCGACTGTGACGAGAATTCCTTTTCATGAAACCGCTGGATTCATATTAAAGTGACTAGAACGTCCCTTTGAAGAAAAACAGTAAACGTGTCTACACATTTTTACAGTTTCTGCACAATTAAAATATATCTATAATTTGACATTTCTTTGCTTGTTCTCCCTTTGTTGGCATGGGTTTTCTCCACGTGCTCCGGTTTCCCACACAAGTCCAAAAACATGTGGTATAGGTGAATTGGGTAAGCTAAATTGTCCGTAGTGTTCTGCATAAACATATGCTGGATAAGTTGGTGGTTCATTCTGCTGTGTTGACCCCAGATTAATAAAAGAACTAAGCCAAAAAGAACATGAATGAATGCATGAATTTAAGATTTCTGTATCACACTAAAGTCATGTAACAGTATCAGTATCAAGATCTTCCACCCCTTGTTTATGGCTCTGCTGTGTCCGCTAACTAGTCTTTTGCCAGACAAAGCCAAAGTTACGATGACCTCTCCTGCCGTCCTCGTTAAATCATGCCCATTTACCTCCTAGAGAGATATCTCGGCTCAATTGGCCTCTGTTTTCCCCTCACCACCCCATGCTTTTTGCTTAGAAAGCGACGAATATTTAAATCCTTTTAAACTTTGCTGAATTTTTCAGACAGAACGCAAACACGAGCGTCTGCAGGATCCTACATATCCCCCCTTCCGCGTTTTCGCATTTCAAACACACCCCTTATTCCCATACTCCACCACGAGCAATATTATTAATAAGAGAGGTTTTAATGAAACCTAGGCCCATGCATTATTCATGCAATATTTAGAGGGAAGGAGCAAGATGTAGATGTAGGCAGGATAACTAGAGACGTCCAACTCAAGATGGAGAATTGGAGCCAGACCAAATCCGAAATTCCCATCGTCTGCCTTTATTTGGTTTCGCAGCTCTGCT